GCAACTGAACTTGATTTTGACTACAATATATACTATTCTCCCTTGATTATTTATTCATTATTGTATATTTTAGTGTGATAAATGTAGTTGATACGGTAATCATTTCCTAATTAATAAACAATACCTATTAATGTGTTAGTTTTTTAAATAATGAAACTAATCATATTATTTTTTGACGTAGGTATTCAAATTTTTCCTATCGACACATAGTAACTCCCTCGGACACAACTCTATCATAGCTTCGACGTATTATAATAGGCGTTTTGTTTACAATGCCAACTGAAGGGGCATCGCATCGCCATACAAATTCAAACGACTCATCTCCTTGACCGTTACATTCAAATAGAACTCGGAACTACATAAAAATAAAGGGTAGATTTACTTGAAAGTGACCGAGATTACTCTTGAGTACCAAGCCTATTGAAATCGTCGTAACAGCCGATGAAAGCACACGTGAAATGGACCGTAATCTTTGGTTTTAGCTCCGAAATTTGATTGTGGTAAAGGATATTTGGGTACGAACGTCGTACAAAGCAGAGTGGCTATGGGAACAAAGGATCGATAAAGCAAATTGAGTTCCTGTCACCTATCTTCGTTTTATGGGGAGTTAAACATTTATAAGATTATTTTTTGAGCGTAATTTTTTTTTGTTTCTGTCCTACTTTGTGTCGTAACTTAGTGTTTTTTGTTAAATTCAAGACAAACTTAAGAAAAAATAATAACTGTTTGTCATTATTCTTGTTATAAAAGGTAATTTTTAGTCATTATAATTTTACTAATTTTCTTCGTCATTATCATCACAGCCAAGTTCAAAAATCGCCTCTCATATAAATTGCTATAAAATTTGATCCTGTACCACCTGCTTTCTTTTCAATCATGTATAATCAAGTTTCTCTTTCCATTGTAATAAATTAATTAATAAACCCGAGTTCGATTCCCGCCAGCACCAATAAAATTGATAATTGCAATTTTAACTGTTGATTTATCACGTGCTCGGCGGCGAAGGTACATCGGAAGGAAACCTGCATATCTGAGAAATAAAAAAAATATATATTTCGAAGACGTGAAGTTCGCTAACCCGCATTGGGGCAGCGCGGCGGACATATTCCTTGCACTCTCACAAATGAGAGGAGATCTGTGTCCAGCAGTGGGACATATTATAGGCGGTAACTTCAACTATAATAAATTAATAATGAAATGTTTCCTTGGTGTCAGAATGAGCTAACTGGTCCTCTGCTAATGCTAAACGAATGAAATGAAAACTCTCTAACTTAAACTGTATTTGCAAAAACTTGCGATTTTGAAGCACTTTTACTTGTTTGTATTCGTATAACATGTTGTAAGAAATAGCAACAAGTGTTTGTAACGCCTGTGCACCGAATTTTAAATGTTTGCATGCTTTAGAAGTAATAACTTCGAGAATTATTACAGAACTTTATGTAGTGTTCATTCGGTTACATGTTGCTATGTTACTACGGATTTTATTATAACTAGACGACTAGGGACGAACAGAGGGAATAAATTCTATGAATCACTCATATCATCAATACCTATCGAAAAAAAATTACAATATAATCGACATGCAATTTCTTATGTTATAGAAGAAATTAACTTAGGCTTAATAATTAATCGAATGCGTACTCGTATACGCATGCTTTATGCTATTTTAATTTGTTTAACTTTTTTTTAATATGAATAGATTTCAAATTGAATGGAATATGTTATAATATTTTAACGTATAATATTTTAAACGTCTAAGCTATGTATGTATATCTGTGTTCTGATTGACTGTATTAAGTATTATAACATAAGAAATTTTATATTGTACACTTTATTTGACATCACCGGTTTTCTATATTTTTTCTGCGATAAGCCTTAAGCTTCAGGAAGTCGATGGATGCAGCTGGCTTAACTTCAGAAAACTCAATTATAATCTTTTTTTAATTAAATTAAAATATTTTTTTTATTTGAAAATTGCTTGTGATTTTATTACCTCTTAATGACGCGCGCATTGCACAGAGTGTTTGTTACATATATTTGTATATTACATTTATTTATATTAACAAGCAACTAATTTATAGTCTTCTCTAACTACTAACGAATAAAGTTTAAAGTTCTTTTTGATTTCCGAACAACAACGCCATCACATCACTAGCACGAAATCGTGTCGATAGTAACACACGAGTGCACTACGTAACTCATTTTCAGGAACCGCATTCAACTTCACCGTCAATACGTACAATTTATATACATACGTGTGTTTGTTCGCTTTCGACAGTCTGCCAGCCGTCTGCCGGACGAGTGGCTCGCCCGGAACAAAGGGTCATTAGCCGTGACGCGATTTTTTTTAATAAAAATTTAAACCGGAATCTTTACACACCGACCGACAAGAGCCGGGGTGCTTCAACAACCCGCGAATTCATTTGAATGTATATGATTAACGCTTGTACCTTTGTATTCAAATGTTTGTATTTGAGTGTAACATGAAAGGTTTTACTCGTTTTGTAATGATGTTATATGGCCGTAGTTTGAATATATTATAGGTAATAATGTATATTGTAGGTTGGTTAGGTAATAGAAAGATTAAAATATACAATACGGAAGCTGTGGTGTTTTAAGCGCTCGTTTTTTTTTTTAAATATATCTACTAGTACTACCCATAAAAAGAGAAAGGATAGATTAACAAAACGCGACCAAATAATATATATTTTTACTACGTAACACTACTTTATTTTTACTCCTCCGTTCTTTCCAAGGAGGATGCTCGAGATCTGGTAAAGGAGATATGTATTCTTCACCAGATCTGGAGCATCCTCTATTGATAGATCTTTGGACTTACATGTCGATAAATACGATATCTTTCATTTCGATTTCTCATACCCTCTACGAAATGTCGTTTCGTGTATGTGCATATTTAGGAATTTCTGGGAGCATCAAGCAGTTTTGGCGATAGAGCTTCAAATTCGCCGCGGACTTCGTCTGCGAAGGTTTCATTCTCTTATTTGTGCGATTTCGCAGCAATTAGCAGTGAACCACATCCTGGTAAGAAGATTTCTGTTAGGGCCTGTTCCTAGATAGACTAATGTAGTTATACTGTTTAAATTTGGCTGCAATTCGGATTAAAACCCATAAAGGCTTAAATGGCAACTTACTATCAGGACAACTACAAGCTTCTTTATCAAAAAAGTGACTGAAAATAACATTAATTCAAGATATGTTATGCAAAGATACGGTAAATCGCGGTACAGAAAATGGGGTTTATTTTCTATAATAGTAAATACTTACATTAGTTTCTGTCAGGATGACGTAGATACAGCGGCTTATAATCAAAATTTGTTACATAAGCAGCTTCTATTACTGTGTATTTAGAGAAGCACGCAAATACAAGCGAGCTTACCCATTTTCTTATTTATTACCATTACAGTGTAAGTAAAATTGAAGGGGAAATTTAAATTTCGAATGTTGATATTTCCCATTACATTATAAAACGTAGTTACATCCGCCAGTGTCCCATTAAAAACGTTTTTCTGACAACTTGTGGAGTGGCCTCGCAATTTGTTTTTTTTTGGCTTATCTGCGAAACGGCGTTGTTACTTTTACGCACTTATTATGTATATTTAACTAAAAAACCTTAAGCATTATTAATTTTACTATGTTTGTCAAGTGCTGGGTCGTAGTACGCGAGGTTCGATCGAATGTTAATGTTGAAACACTATGTGTTGGATGAAGAAGGAAAGCATAGTGAGGAGAACTGCATATATTAGAAGTAGGTATAAAAGATTTCAAGATCATAATATAAATGCATTGAGACAGCGCGTCGTAATGACTCTGCCTCTCCAAAACCTTCTCATAAATGGAAGGAGGTCTGTGACCAGTAGTGGGGCTTGTACTTTTTTATTTGTTTCAAATTCCAAGTTTAAAGCTGTCGTCACGTTACTGCGTTCAGGGTGTAAAATGGTCGTCGCCGCGTCAATTTGCAACTCCATTTAACTGCGGCGTAGTTGCGATGTGGCTCGTCCGACACCGCACTTGTTTTGCCCGCCCTCCATTGTTTTTCTACCTAAACTTTGTAATTAATCCATTTGCACGGGTTGACTTTCATTTTTATGTAACTTCCGCTGTTTTGGTCTTGCATTAATGTGGACTGACTTTACTGTTTATGCTTTTTTTTTTGTAAATTAAATTTTCACAATTCAATACAAACAACGTTAAGGGCTGTTGTCTTTGCCAATACAAAAGTTGAGATCTGAAAAGATGCCTAGTTCAATAGTAGTTATATTAGTGTACAACATCCTACTTTTGATTTAAAATATGTTTTTAAGTTATTTGATATTGAAATTATAACTTAGTATTAATATTATAACTATTCCTCTATCCTGGAGCGTTTTACATACATTCATTGAACATAGACAAACATCTCGTCTAGAACTATTATTTTTAGGTTGTATACTTGCTCATTTCGTGCGGAATTCGAACTCGTGACCTCGTAGCATAACGCTTAGTCACTTTGCTAATAAGTCTCCAAAACTGCTGGAAAATACCCTGTCTCAAATCGGGAATATTTTTCTTTCTTTCTTTCTTTATTCTTTATTGTACACACTATACGTTGGTAACAATTATTAAATATTTAAATAAAATGTACAAAGGCGAGCTTAACCCTAATAAGAGTTCTCTTCCAGCAAACCTATTGCGAAAGAGAAATAGTTTTATATAAAGCAAGTAGGTAGCAGCGTGCGTACTTAATAATTAACATAACACTAGTTAATAGAAATTTGCTATAAGTAACAGTTAACAATTAACATATAAGTGTAAAAAATATAAGTATAATTTATTTTCTTATTTCTATTGATTTACATATATATATATTAATAAATACAATAAATATATACATATATACTCATACACACACACATATATATATATATATATATATATATATATACATATACAATTATATATATATATATATAAATACATAAAATGTGTAAATATTTGTAATTCTAAGTTGACAGATAATATTTCTTTACTCTGCTCCGAAATATATCAAGCGAAGAGCTAGCACGTATGTCATGTGGAAGTGAGTTCCATAGCTTGACCGCCCTTATAGTAAAGGATCCACCACATCGGCTTGTGAAATGAGAAGGAGTTTTGAGAAGCAGCTGTTTAGTGGTCCGGCACTGAGTTTCACGAGGTACAAGATACTCAAACCGCTCGCGAAGATATGGAGGTGCAAGAGAATTAAAGAGAAGAAAGTAAAGAAATAATAACACATGTAAGTCTCGACGTTTACGGATAGAAAGCCATTTTAATTGAGCCCTGTACTCTGATACATGATCAAACTTACGAAGACCGAAAATAAAACGTATACACAAATTTTGAATGCGTTCCAGTTTGTTCAACAGCTCCTCTGAAGCATCTAAAAAACTAACATCAGTGTAGTCAATGAGAGGAAGAAGAAGTGCTTGAACTAAGGTTATCTTAGTTTTTAACGGTAAAAACATCTGGAGGCGCTTGAGAGATTGGAAAGAGTAGTTCACTTTTCTGCTAATCATATTAATATGAGCAACCCATGACAAATTATTATCAAAAATAACACCTAAGTTCTTAGCAGTCTCTGTATATGGAATTTGAGTATTATCATACGTTACTGCAGGGATCTTCGAACGATCTAATAAATTAAGCATATATGAGCTGCCGATAATCATTACTTGGGATTTAGCAGGGTTAACAAGAAGACCAAATGATTTTGCCCAACTGCTTATGCTACTTAAGTCAACATTTAGCTTATTAATAGCCTCATATATATCTTGGACTTTGAAATGACGGTATAATTGCAAATCGTCAGCATAGAGATGATAATGAGAGGAGAGAACAGTAGTGAGAGCATTGATAAAAATAGAGAAGAGAAGTGGGGAAAGAACACCACCCTGAGGAACACCCGCCGTGAGATCGCACCATTCGGAGAAATCCTCCTCATGGCGGACACACTGAGAGCGACCCCTAAGGTAAGAATTAAACCAAGAGATTACTGATGGTGAAATGCTTAAGGACAAAAGAATACCAAGAAGTATGTCATAATCAACGGAATTAAATGCACTGCTGAAATCCAATAATGTTAGGACAGTGAGTAGTCTTTTGTCCATGGCCCAGCGAATATCATTAGACACTTTAATCAGAGCGCTGACTGTGCTATGGCCTGGACGAAAACCAGATTGGAAAGGACTCAGCAAGTTGTGAACAGTTAGGAAATGAGACAGTTGCCTCTGAACTATATTTTCTAGTACTTTAGATAAGATTGGAAGAATAGAAATAGGTCGGAATTGGGATAAAGATGTAGGATTAGAAGTTTTTGGAAGGGGAATGACGAATGCCTTTTTCCAGCAAGTCGGAAAGGAACTCGTCTCAAGCGAAGAATAGATAATGTGAGTGATAATAGGGACAAGTTCATTAGTGACAGGTTTAATCATTTGCATACAAAGATTGTCATAACCGATAGCTTTAGTGGAAATAGATAAAAGGCATTTTTTTATGTCACCATCAGTAACTTTACTAAAATTAAAAGGAGAACACAGCGGCTTAGGAAAATTGGAGAGAAGATTAAGTGTAGTTGACTTAATAGATTCATCAATAGAAATCGGAGGCTCAGAAAAGTGCCGGTTGAGTGCAGTCAAATCAAACGAGATATTAGAATCATTATGTGATTTGCCTATACCCAGAGTTCTAAGAAATTTCCACATCTGAGCGGAATGAGAATTTTCAACCTCATCATAAATATGTTTTCTCTTAGCATCACGACACATCTTACTACAGCGATTACGTAATTTTTTATATGTGAATAAAACGTTTTTCTACTCCTCAGAATCCTTACAAGTTTTTCATGGTAGATATATGCGTGGTTGAGCCACACTGCAGCTATATTATGGTAGTAGTGCGAATGGGTTGGCTTGACTAGACTGAAGGAGGACCGCGCCCTCTACCTGCATGAATTACTGGAAGTGAGAGGTTTTACATCTTAATTCTCAGGGATGATAACGCCTCTGCATTTTGAATATTAATCGAAGATAGATGGATGGCCTATAGGCCACAGCATCCATTTATCATCAGGTGCACTGCATGCTCGTCACCTTCGTCACCCTTTTTCTATACAATAGATAACCACATACTGTTCTTTAGTTCAAAACTTTCTTATCACCTTGACCTAACGCGGAAAGCGCTCATTTCAAGAAATCAACACGAAAACAGCCTAAACTTGTTTAAAATTTAACAAATTGGCTTCCTTAATACAAAAAGGTGCTTTGAAAGGTCCCTTTTTAATAACACAATATAATTAAGGAACTTCACAATTCTTAATCTTCAAACGAATATTTCCTCCTGTAAAAAAACCAGTTTATGACTGGAAATGCGTGTTGTAATGTCTATGAAGTAAAATTTATTTGGCCATATAAATATCATATAATAAAGATTTCAATTAGATTTTCTAAGCTTTATTTTTTAGACACTTGGCCCTTATCTAAAAAAAAACAAAATATTGCGATATCTTCATTTAGTATAAAGTTATTTAACTTTTAAGAAACATCGATTTTTATACGGGGTTTTTCACACGGTTTGTACGTTGCTTGCTCTCGCGTTACTAATCCAGATATGTTATATATTTTAGCTACAAACGGAGCAACGAATAAAATTGTTTACAAAGAAATTTTATTTTTTTGTTTTTTCCTTCGCACATACGAAAACTTTGTTAATATATCAAGCAACGCGGACAAAGTCGCAAGTATCAGCTAGTGTTAAATGAAACTAGTTTTTTTATCGTGTTTAATTGACTTATTTTATATTCCCGACGTTTCGATTACTTTGCAGCGCCTATGGTTACGGGGGGGCTGAGGTGTTAAACGTCCCTAGAGTTCCCGTGAACTGTTCAACCACGGCTACCTTATCAAGGTACCACGGCTACCTTAACCTTAATACGTTGTTTACTCAACTAGGTGGCAGGACTACTTCACTGCATAGTAGCCCGACTAGGTAGGTACTGACCCTCTTCGGCCGCCTAACAGCAATGCCTGCACTGCTGGGTTTCGATCAGAAGGAAATAGAGATCCAGTATAAGTACAGGCTGTAAAGCATTCCATCTTAGTCCTCAGACGTTACGACGCATCTGTAGCCTTCCTTGTTTGAAGTTGACTGGAGATGTACTTGAACTACAGTAACCATTTACAGGGAAGACTATAATAGGTTCACTGTTACTTGAGTTTTATTAAAAAAAAAAACTATTACACAATAATGCAACGTTGTGCGTTAAAACCGCTTTTTACATTTGCAATAGTTTTCCGAGCAAAAATATCGAAGGAAGCTACATGTTGCGACATTTACGTTAATCACGTCAGCTAAAGTTATGTGACGTTCACAAGATGGAGGAAAATGAAGGTTTAACGATTCCTTTATCTTATTTTCCTCTCATATAGTAATACTGTTATTAATTTTTTTTGGTAACTAATTTATACTTCCTACTTTTTGATGGGCGAAGCTAAAGGGACGATGACTGATGGTGAAGAAGTAATTAATTCATTACAGCCTATAAAAATATCACTATTGAACATTGGCCACCTCCACATATGTAGGATCGCAGTTTTTTAAATATATTGTGCTGGTATCAGGAAGATACTGTTTCATTGCTGCCCATCCCCTGTTTAATTTACCCCTGTCCCCTCTTGCGGCACTCACGGGATGATGTGGGGTATTGGATTATCTTATGCCGCCATTACACAGTATTCGAAAATGATAAAAGATCACCAGAAAATATTAAAAGATCCTTTTACGTGGTAGAGCTATGCTGCAGATATATTAGTAGTATAGTTGTAGCACGAATGGTTCGGCTGGACCGGGGAAAGACCACGCTCCACAGAATACCAGTGTTAAATAAATAGCAGCTTAACACTGCTGTGTTTCGTATGGTGAGTGTAGAGAACCGGAGACCCTTTTTACTGGAAATGAAGCATTCCATCTTAGTCCTCACGGCTGACAATGCATCTGCATTTTGATTTGTAATAGAGGATAGATGTAGATGTCTATGGACCGCAGCAACCACTTACCATCAGGTGGACTGTTTGCTCGTTTGTCACCCTTTACTATAAAAAAAAAATTAACAGATCAGCATCATTACCAGTAGGTTGGCATCGGCCCGCCCATATGGCTCACTCGCCTGACACGTGGTGAATAAAGATTGATGAATCATTATTATAGTGAATGGTTCATTCTTGTTGATTGACATATACTAACTTTCAGAAAAATGTACCTATGGGAGAATGGAATAAACATATTGAAGAGAAAATAAAACAAAGTGAAGTAATTGTAAATAAAGAAAAGATCAAATCTAAACTTACATAATCGGGAAGGCGTAATATCGATGAACACATAATTGGTTATTTTTTGTTATCTGTTTGATATGGTTTCGTTTGTTTTTTTTGAAAATAATGATTACCTTGAAAATGACAGACAAAAATGGACTTTGTAATATCACCCTAATACATGACCGTGTAGTTGCGGTGTAAGAATATACACTACACCATATCGCCCCGTGGGTGTCGTAAGAGGCGCTAAGGGAAACAAACCAGGACATGGGCATCAGGGTCTTCTTGGTAGCAACTAAGAAAATACTGCGGTTGCCCACTTGTCTGCCAAGATTAGCAACTATGACGAATGTCCCTTTTGAGGCAATCTAAGGTGGAGGTCTATATTCAGCAGAGGAAATTCATATGTCAGCTGATGAAATAATATGCACAAAATTATGAAATCAACACACGTGCCTACAATGTTACACATATTAACTCTTTTCAAAGTACGTATAACGAGTGGACGGACAAACAATCTAACTTCACATTATTGCGTAGCGTTGACATATTCATGGCTTTTCCAAACTTTATTCATTATTTCCCTACTCGAGTTCACATCTACACCTGGAGGACTTTTCATATTAACTGGCTGATGTGACGATATTTATGTATTCAAAAGTTAACTCGACAATTGTTGCAGGGCGAAGTTGTGTGTGAAATACAGATCCTTCGAGATATAGCAAATAACAACTGGTTGTTTAATTTTAGTACGCGATATGTTTTAATTACTTTAATCATTTGAATGAAATTATATGTGGGCTTTGTAGTTACCGGCACTTGTACAGTTTCATATATTTGTTGCGTTAAAAGTGAAATGAGTTATATCACGTTAAGAAATAGTTTTTTTACAAGACTTAGGTGCTATATTTATGTTTTCATCATAGATTTTCAATTGCATTATATAAAGGGTAAACATATCACTAATTACTTAGAAAATATTGTATTTACTGAAAATTAACCTTTATTTGGTAAAAATTTGATTATAGATTTACAAAATTTTTACCTTACTTGGTTACGGATATAATACTAACACTTAAGTTTATCGACATCCTCAAGTCATGTGAATTCGTTAGGAAACACTCAAAACTCTACTTATTTATAACAAAAACAATAAGAAACATTAGAAATTTAAAGAAGCTTAGAATATACTTTTCCAAAATAAACTTTGTTTCGTCTAGCTCTCACGTCACGTCAATAAAAATTTAGAATCATTTACCGAGTTATGTAAAAATCTTAGAAATCCTTGAGCAATTTAATAAACAACTAAAACTAATTATATTATGATTACTATTTTATGATTCAGGGTTTTATCTAAAAATATAATCTTGAAATATGAGTTTTGTATTTGAATTTGAATTTTGTAAACTATTTTTGTACTTATAAAACAAGCCGGGCAGATGATTGTCGATGTTCGCCCCGTGTATGCGAAACGGCCACGCTTGTTTATAAAATTCAGAATCGACGCCATATTGGAATCACGTTCCGTTTTTCTAACGTTGCTCGTGTTTCCAAAAAGTTTGCCAGCAGTTTCGTAATGTCACCGTGTAACGAAACGTTTTTCCAATTGAAGTTGTTTATAATTTTCGTGAATGTTGCGATAAGCGAAATTATTTTGTAGGTTGTTTGGAAAAATATCCATCGATAACTTTTTAAGTGGCTGTAACTTAATGGTTAAGGGTGTAGACCGCACACTCAAATCGTGGGTTCGAATCCGCCATTCAAACATGGTTAACTATAAGCTGTGTTAATAGTATTATAATATGTTTCTTTATCTTCTCTCACCTTGGTGACATTCGGGTTTTTATAATAATAATTTATATAATGAATAATTTTGAGGCATTTTTAAGTTAACTAAGTAGTGCTGCGAAGTTTAAATAAAGACTAGAATGCCGACTAAATTTAAATAATTCATTCACTCATTACGGTTGTAATGAATGGATAGGTTTGTCAAAAGCCCACGACTGATCGTGGGCCTCTCGCATATGTTACCCCACAGGTATGATGTTTCCGCAGTTGCTTCGCTTGGCAAGTGGGTTGGCAAACTCAGTTTTTTTTTTATTATTTTGAGTCGTTATCAGGAAAATACTGGTGCCCATCTGTATCATTTTCCTCTATGTGTTCAACGATATGGGGTAGTGAATATTCTTGCACCGCTTCTACACGGGGTTGCCACAAAACGCTAAATGGTGACATTAAAAACTTAATTCCGCGTAAAGTAAGAAAATGATGTGTCCTGCCCAGTTTTAAGGGGACCTCCCACCCTCCCTCAATCGCGCGCACTATACTCGTCGCCGTCAAACCCAGCACTACCGTACCGGATGGTAGTGCGGAATTAAGCAAATTAGTTTATAACAACCCCATTAAAAATAATGATCCCAATCGACTCACAATAACTGGAGAAGATATTACAGTCG